AAAGCTTATAACTAATGATTAATTATCTTAATTATGTATATATTCTACACATAATTAAGACAAAATAATGAAATAATATATTGAGATGCATGAGAGTATGTGCATTCAAGTCACGCATAATGTGTGTCATATGGCAGGTGAGCACTCGTTTTTGAACAAATTGTGTATATATTTTATGTGTAACTTAAACGCATACACTCCATATGTACGTCTTACTATATTATTTTAACAATATTTTTTGGATTTTGAATCAATGAGAAAAAATATTTTTCTTTTACATAAACGGATCAGAAGACATATATGAACTTAGGAAGGTGATGCCGAAAGCGCATAGAAAAGTGGTTACAAAAGAGTAACTCTCTGGTTCTCAATTTCTAATAACAAAATTCAACTCCTATAATATGGGTCTTCAGCACTTTTTTATAGACTAATTACAAATTGATCCAAAATTCAAAATCTTAAAAATAAGAAAGCTTTTTAAAATAAATATTACAGTAATAAACTTCTAAAAATAAATAATTATAATTAAATTATTCAAAACACGTCCCAAATCTTAGATATCAAATCATGTCAAATGTGTTGTTTTCCTTTTCTTATCAAACAAATTACAATCATATCTGCTGCTTCATTTGGACTTGAATTTGATCGTAATTTGTTATATTTCAAATTGTGACTTCTAATTTTAACAATTGAGCAATATTTATTGAACCACAATTCTGGTTGACTCTGGGCTTCATGAATTGATGGTCGGGTCATGTGCAATGAGCCAACTGTATGTGCACAATTCTCCTTTGTTAGGAAAAGATTCATCCTCAAATCTTCTTTTTCTTCACTGATCTCAATCTCTTTAGATAGAAATTGAAATGACAATTTTTCCTCGATTATATCAACATCATCTAATTTACCATTAGATTTATTATTAACTAAATAATCATCATAGATTGGATAATCATTATAAATCGGATAATCATCATAAATTGGATTATCATCATAGATCGGATAAACTTCAAAGTCAGGAATGTTGAGTTGCATCTCGATTTCTTGAAGAGTGAACTGATTTCCAGGTCGTACTTTCCAATTTCGTCCCTATTTTAGAATCCTCAAGGGATTGACGTCCTCTTATTCGTCATTAGATGCGTCCTCTAATTTCATTTCTTCTTCGGATTGAATGCTCAACTTTGTCCACGCAAGTCGCCCCTCCACAAGTTCTCGCTTCAAAATTTGGATATTCTCATTATGGACCCTCATGAGTTGTCGCTCTAAATCTTGAATTTTACTGCTTTGCGGTAGTCGCTCCAAAATTGGATTTTCATGTTGTGTGCCTCAATAATTTGTCGCTTCAAATTCTGGGTCCGTCTTCCAAGCTCTTCATTTTCTATGTCAGTGAGTCTATATGACGCAATTGTTGTCTTCTTTAGAAACGAATTCATGTTCCTTGCCTTCACGACTCTACCATCGATGACCTCTACGATTTTGTTCAGCCATTGGTTGAAGGGAACATAGTACTCTAATACCAAATAATGCCGAAGTAGTAACCAATTGGATAAACAGAAAGAAGACTAAAAACAAGATTGCGAGAAAATACTTGTAAAGAACCTTGGGATACACCACCCCAAAAGCTAGCTCGAAGGGTGGGAGTGTCCAAGACCTTATAAACTCCACACTAGTTGCACATACAACCAATGTGGGACTATATATCTCAACACGCCCCCTCACACAAGATCTCATTGGGCTTGAAGAGTGGACAATGCAACAGGCCCAGCCTACCTGTGCTAAGAAACTCCACAAGAGAAAGTGGGGGACGGCGAGGCTCTGATACCATGTAAAGAACCTTGAGATACACCACCCCAAAAGCTAGCTCAAAGGGTGGGAGTGCCCAAGGCCTTATAAAGGCCACATTAGTTGCACATACAACCAATGTGAGACTATATTTCTCAACACGCCCCCTCACACGAGAGCCCATTGGGCTTGAAGAGTGGACAATGCAACAGACACAGCTTACCTGTACTAAGAAACACCACATAAGAAAGTGGGGGGGGGGCGGTGAGGCTCTGATACCATGTAAAGAACCTTGGGATACACCACCCCAAAAGCTAGCTCAAAGGATGGGAGTGCCCAAGACCTTATAAACTCTACATTAGTTATACATACAACTAATGTGGAACTATATATCTCAACACGCCTCTTCACACGAGAGCCCACTGGGCTTGAAGGGTGGACAACATACAAGCCCACCTACATGTGGAAATTCCACTACAAAGAAAGTGGGAGGCGGTGAGATTTCGAACGCTCTGATACCATGTAAATAACCTTGGGATACACCACCCCAAAAGCTAACTTGAAGGGTGGGAGTGCCCAAGACCTTATAAACTCCACACTAGTTGCACGTACAACCAATGTGAGACTATATATCTCAACAATACTATTTCTCTTTTCTGAATTTTATTTAACTAAAAACAACCAACTAACAATAGGATTCTTCAAGCCTTAAATAAGCAAAACAAAAATAACAAAAAAAAGATAAATAACTATAATCACGTGCAATCAAAGGAGACAACATACACTCTAACATAATCTAAGAATAACGAAAAGGAAGATAATTAATAATTTTTTGGAAAGCCCTACATTATGGAATAAAGTGTAAAAGAGCTAAAATTATTGATGCCCATGGCAACATGACGAGTCTTGCTCGTAAACCCATTTTGAATTGGCTATCCAAATTTGATCCCAATCCAAATCAATCATCTCAGGTGCATCAGAAGGGGTTAGAAACCGTGAATGCGTTAGCGAGACCAAGAAAACAAGTCATTCACTAGTGTAAGCAAGAAACAGAAAAGGATCAAGTGGGATATTATTAGTCTTGATTTTGTCGCAGGCCATTATTTTCAAAATCTACGTTACGGTGAGGAAGATGCAAGGATGACACGAGAAATAGCAGAAATGAAAGACAAGTTGTTGAAAAGGAATTAAGAAACTTACAAAGGAATTTGAAATTATAGGGTTTACAATGACAAATATGTGGAAGCAAACAAACAACCCTTTAGGCCCTCTTTTATCGTCTCTATGTGTCTCAGTGTCTATTCACACATTCGGGTCAATGGGTCCACGATAAAAAAAATCAATATTTCTTTATCTGACTATTACAACCACCGTTCATTTATTGCTAATGAAAAAATCACCTAATATTGCTATCGAACTTTCATGAATTGTTTATGTTAACAATATGACAAAAAAAAAAAAAAAATCAAACTTGAGGATAAAATACTAGGCAAACCATTGTGGTTAAATAACACATTTTAAATTAGAATTTCTACTTAATTGTGTGTGTGATGTAGTGCAAGCAATTGTGTAGACGGGAGTTTCTAACAAAAATAATGAAACATAAAGGTTTGACTAATTAAAAATAGACCACAAGTTAAATTTGAATAGACTGACTAATTAAACCCTTAGCTATTTCAAGAACAGCAGGGTCAATATTTTGTATTTCATTGATATATTCTACGTACCGTAGTTGAAAAAAAAAATGAGACTGAAAGGTTGTTCATGTTTTCAATAAAGGAGAAAGAGTAGAGAAATTCTTAATTACTTTGAAAATATTAAATCATGCACTCGTCAGAAGCCAATATATGTTCTTTGTTAGTACGAGTGTCATAAATAAAATTTCTTTCTCCTTTGGAGTATCATTCTCCTTTATCTTCTGTTATCCATTTTTGCCAGCCCTAGGCTTGTTTGAAGGGAAAATTGTAACACCAAACTCCAAACTGAATCTTGAATTTAAAGATAACTGCAGGGCGTATGTAAGTACAAAAAAATAAATAAATAACATGAACCAGTCAACTAATTTATTTTAATAATTTCTTAGTACATCAACTTATTTTAAGTTATTTAAATCTAGTTGGATAAGAACATATGCTACTAAATCAGTATGTCTGTCTCAATTTTAAGCATTCTCGCAATAAATATATAAAATGGTGCGTAAGAATTTCTCGTAGATAACCAATGGACAAACTAGAAATCAAGCCTATTTATTTCTTTTTAATAAATGAGATAGATTGATATATATTATTCAAAGACATTACAAATTTTCTAATGTTAATGCTGTCATGCTGATACTAGCTAGCAAACTTCTTTGCAAAAAAGTAAAGAAAACTATCAAGCTAGCAGAGTTTGATCTCATGGAAAATATGTGGCCTTTTTGGTCACAACGTCACTATAAAAAATTGCATAGTTATTGGGTCACTGTGCAATCTTATTCAAGTGGGGAAAGTCGAGAATATTCACGTCATAGTAAAATTAATAAAAAAAATTTTACATTCACAGAGACCTTTGAACCAATAACTTGCTTAAGCAGACTTCATAAATTCCTCTTTGATTACTCTTTTTAGTGTTTCATAAATTCCACCCCGTCCTCTTCGAAGATAAAGAAAAATTATAACACAGAAAATTGTCCAAACTTGGCACTTTGCAGTGTCTGTGTGTATTGACTACGCAGAAAAGGAGAGTTAATATAGAAAAAGAAAGAAAGGAATTGTTGGAGTGTCACTTTCCTATATATACTCTCAACTCAAGTTAGCCAGGAAACTCGTCTCTCTCTCTCTCTCTCTTTCCCATTCCTTTATATTATTTTGTTTATATTATGCACCACCACCACCACACATCTCTCTCTCTCTCTCACTCTCTCTCTTCTTAGTCTTTGAATTGAAGGATGTCTGTCTTGTGAAGCTGAGAAAAGGGTTCTTCTTTTAATTTCATTTAGCCTTCTTTGAAATAAGACATATATTTATATATACATATACTTCATCATCTCCACTTTGCACCTTTGCAAATCACCTTAATTAATATTCTAGCTTCTTCTTTGTTTTCTTTATTGCTTGTATCAATCAATAGTAGAGGAATAAACACCCCCCCCCCCCCCCCCCCCCCCCACTTGAGTCCTTTGTTTGTGTCTTTTATTTTAGTTCTGAATTCTCCTTGTTGGTCTCAGGTTGAGTGGTTTTTTTCTTTTTTCTTTTTTTCCTTAATTTCACTGCTATATACTATACTATACTATAGCCTGAAATCATTTCTGGGATTAACTAAAAATGCCTCAGAATAAGATTTTCCATGATCCATCACAGAATCAGATTCCTGATCTTTCCTTGCACATTAGTCTCCCAAACAGTGCTCCTTCTTCAATTTGCACTGGCACACATGAAGGGGATTCACACTTTGATATATGGAGAGCAGAATCTGATGGCCTCAGATCCCATAGTGATGGTTCAATCAAAGGAATTCCTCACACAGACACAGAACTTTCCTTAGCAAACAACCCCACAACACCATCTGAGGCTGAGAGTCCCTGGAAGAGAAACTTTGTTAGAGTGAGACAAGAAGTTGCTGCAGCAAGGGAAAAAAATCATGGGGTCTCAGATGAGGGTGTCATTAGACCCATCAATGGAATCCCTCTCTACAGTAATAACTTCTCTTCTTTGGACAACAATCCCTCAATAGAGAGGGACTCCAAGTTTTCTCTATGTGCACTTCCTTATCCTTCTTGTTCTGCTAATTCTGCTTCTTGTAATGATGGTATTGCTGGGGGTGTAGAACAAATCTCAAGGTTTAATGGGATAACCTTGGAGAGTCTAAGACAACAGCAGTTTCAGTACTTGGACCATAATCAAAATCATCAACAGCAGCAGCAGCATCAGTTTGGGATTGGAGCTTCTGATTACTCAAATGGATTTGTAAGGTCAAGAGTAATGTTGCCAAGGCAACAAATTAAGAGGAACATGAGGGCTCCAAGAATGCGTTGGACTAGTTCTCTTCATAGTAGATTTGTTCATGCTGTTGAGCTACTTGGAGGCCATGAAAGTGTGAATTGAAATCTCTTCTCTCCCTTAATTTAATGATGTGTGTGTGTGACTAATACTACTCTATAACTTTTACTGTATTTTTAAAACTCCTCTTGTTTTTTTTTAATGGTAGGGGCTACTCCCAAGTCAGTTTTGGAGCTCATGGATGTCAAAGATCTAACACTAGCTCATGTTAAGAGCCATTTGCAGGTATATGAATCAGACCTTGTTTTTACCCTTTCATTCTTCACATGTAAATCAAAATAACACAAAAAAAAAAAAAAAAAAAAAAACTCTCTCTTACTCTTTCTGCGTGAGTGTACCCTTGGATTGGAGTGTGTAGACTTTGTCATAAGGTCTATCTTTAAGGCACAAGAATTGAGGCATGCAGTGAATAAATGAATTATGAACAGTTGAAGCTGTTTTTTGATACAGGGAACCGGACAACTTCTACTTTTCATGAGAGAGAGAAAGAAAAAAGAAAGAAAGAAGGAAAGAGAAAGTAGAAAAAGTAGCCATCATTTCTCAATAATAGAAGCAATTACTTACCTTACCAAACATCAACCTCGTGGTTATTAAACAAACCTACAAAAAGAAGCATCTGATTTGATTATTTTATTTTATTTTAACTTTTTTATTCCTCCTAAATCTTTCTTCTTCAAAGACAATTCAGATTTCCAATCTTTTATAATTGTTTACTTATTTATATATTCAATTCCCTTTATATTATATTAATTTTTGTTTTTGCAGATGTATAGGACTGTTAAGAACACTGACAGGCCAGCAGCTTCTTCAGGTAATTTATATTGTCATCACCTTCGGAGCTAATAGTATTTTACCTAATGCAATTTATAATAATTAATTCCTTGATCTTAGCTCCAAATGTGAGTTCACTTTATTCAATTCCTGTGAAGATTCCTTCACAACCCTTTATGACTCAGTCTCAGACCCTATATAGTAATTCATCTATTAAATAATGTTTTCTTTACATGTATATATATGAAGTTAACGATTACAACTCAGTAAAATTAATTAAACTGAAGATTTATTTCAAGTATGTCTACAATACTATGACAATTAACTATTAATGCTTTATATAACAGATGGAGATGAGGATTTCATGTCCCTAACACCACCCCATAATCAAAATAACAACAGTTTGTCCAATCAGATAGGACCTCAAAATGCATCTGATCTAGACCATGATATGTGCTACACTTCTAGCAATCTATGGGGTAATTCTTCTTCCAGGTAATCTATCTCTCTTTCTTTCTATGTTGTATGGATGATTGGGCAGGCCTTGGTGTCAGTGTAAGCTATATATTATATCTGCATAGGTGCATGGTTGAATCCATTATCTATTTATCTATTTATATATGTATATTTATATATGCATGGTTGAGTTTAATAATTAAAGTTAGGAAAATCACAAAACCCAATTAAGTCCACCCTTTTCTGATACTCAAAAGTGCATCTTTCTGACAACTTTTGCTTTACATTTATTTTCTCCACTTCTGCTTTCTTTCTGATGATCAAAGTAAGTCATCCAGTATACTGGCTGATACCTCTTTTTAGGTACAATGTCATTCAGCTTCTTTTAATGTATAGAAAGAGTTTTCTGAAACTAAATGAATTTTCAGTAGTTATGTGCAAATAAATATCCGAGGACCTATAGCCTTCTCCACTATTCAGTACTTTCTCCAGAATAACATTCTACTTTTAGAACAATATATTCCTACTCTAAATTGATATGTTTATTTCTTTTCTTTTCTTTTTTAAACATTTTTTTGGCTATCTATCATTGCACATCTTAATGGACTTACTTTATCATACGACGATAGCTCAGTTGGTAGTAAGAAAGTTGAGTAAGTGGAAAGAAAATAGCCTCAGTTTAATCCCCATATATCATCTTTAGAAGGGATTTAAATATCTTCATCTCTGACCTGTCCCGCATTCTGAATTAGTCTCATAGACACTCAAAGAATCAAAATTTATAAAAATACTAAAAGAAGTCAACTTAACTCAAAGAAATAATTAGAATTAAGTTAACTAAAAAAAAATGGACTTCCTTTGAGTCCCTTCAATAGCTAACATTATTACACAACATTACGTTACATACACAGTATCCAATTTAAGGGCTTTCAATTCCATTTTTTTATGTAAAGTCGTACTTTTGTTGGTATTCTAGCTTGGTACTAGTTTCTAATTCAAATTTTGAGTCAACTAATACGACAAAAGAGGGTAGGACTTAGGTAGCAAACTCCTTCTATGATTACAAACCACAAGAACAACATTTCTACAAAAAATGGAAAAGGTAGGGGAACAATTTCTAGTGGAATTGACAAAGCAAAATATACAAGGCTTAAAAATTAGATATATCATTGGATGATCTAACATAATGTACGTCCCCTCACATATATATAATAGCTTCTCTTTGTGGCTACAATGGCCTATGTATAAATTATCCATCCCATCTTTGGAAATAATAATTAGAGCTTTGATTCTGAGACACATAAACTCAAGCAAATCTTATTAATATTATATATGGTTTGTGACATTCACATGAATCTCTAGCAATTTTGGGTAATTAATATATCAATTGGAGGAGAACATAAAATCATATATAATCCATGGACCATTAATTGTAATTTTTAGCTTCCCTAAATCCCAATAATGCTGGTCCAGAATTGAGTTGTCTTCTGATCAGCTTTAACTCAGATGCTAAATTTTCTCGGTCCTCACGTTTGTACTGCAAAAAAGTTCCTTGAAGTCCGAAAGACAGGTAGTAACCTTCAATGTGGTGTTTCTCTTTGGTACACAAGCTCATTTATTCAGATACAACTTACCAGTTATCTCAGCTTTAAATTCACTCACACCATGCCCATTATTATACAAATTATAACATACATAATAGTATTATCAACATTTCAAATATATTTGACTTTATCGATTCTCCTATTAAAGATAATAACGATTCCAAAATTATATCATTTTGGAAAAATTAATGAATTGTGTTTTGATAAAATTTATATAATGAAGAAACAAATAAAATTATCAAAACATCCTTCATTAATTCTCCTAACCATAAAAAAGACAGTTTTGGGGTTGGAGAGTATGATGCACCGACACTTCAAAATATCTGACGTATAGTGTCCGACACTTTTCGACACTCACGGACACTTTAACACTCCCCGACATTCTAACATGTGTTACGAGACTCAAAAAAGAGTTCAAAGGTTATGTTGCATTGTGTTTTTAGTTTCAACTATTAGATTCGTTGGATTACGATTACCATTCTATTGAGTTTAACATAAATATTTGTGATATTTTATATTTCTTTGTAAAATTAATGGGAATTATAATTTTAGCTTAATTTTTTTGTTAAATTATTGAATATTAAATATAATATACACTATATAAATTAAAATTATTATTTAATATCAAAATATGTCCTAACATGTCGAAATCTAACACTTTTTAAAATTAACGTATCAGAGTGTTGTGTTGTGTTGTGTCGTATCCCGTGTCCCATATCAATATCAGTACAACATAGATTGCAGAAAATAACTTTATATTCAGTTAGACAAATAAAGTGTGTGTGAGAGAGAGTGTGTCTTCTGGGTTAGCCAAATAGGTAAAATGTGCAATTTAAATGTAATGTATAATAAAGCCATAAAATTTAAAATTAAAGGATGTTTTACTTATGTATTTTAGAATAAAATATATTAATTCAAAACATTATCACCAAAAGTTTTATTTTATATAGATGAATTTTTTTAAAAATTAATATTATATAGTATTGGGATGGATCTGGACAATCCAATATAGTAGCGGACCATGTCGAGTCTTGAGCTACCGTGTATAGGTGTATTATAATAAGATTTGAATTGAGGTTTTGTGAAATTATAATTGGAATTCCTTTTTCAGTATTAGTATATTGGAAGCTAAAGCTATAATAGAGTTTGGCAAATAAAATAAAAGACTTGAATAATATATATGAAATGATGAATTCAATCATCATTATCACCATTGTTAAAGTTAAAAAGAAAAGGTAAATTAGAAATTGAAATAATGATTTCTATTCGAATCCTTTGCTTCCGTTACACTCACTCTTACAACAAACTACCCCTCTCCCTAATTATGTTCCCTTTATAATATATATATATGTGTACTACATTAATATGTAGTCGACGCTAGGCTTGTCCAAGGACTGTTTGGTGTGATGTATAAGCCCTGATAGTATAAGCTTATATTATATATTATGATATTTTCAGTTGTTTGGTGTGACCATCGTATAGTATAAGTTTATACAGCAGGATCCCTTTATACATCAAAATGATGTATAATTTAATCCGGCCTAGGAGTGGTGGATTAGGCCTGATAAGGGGTTGATGTATTAATATTGCTTACAAGTACAATTCCCGAGAACTAATATATCATTTCAATATTTATATATTAAAATAAATTTTTTTAATATATTAATTTTTAAAACATTTGAGGATATTATCTTATACAATATCATACCAAACGCTGGATAGTATTAAAATTTAATTAGATCTTATATAATCAGATCTTATACTATCAGGTCTTATACTATCAGGCCTTATGCTAAATACTATGCACCAAACATGCCCTAAAACTAATTGCATGGTGCAGTAGACAAGTCCCTTTGGTTTAGTCAGATATTAATAAAGATATAAATCATGTATACGTTCAGACTTCAAACTATATCTAGACTAAGTAATATAAGTTATTGGCATTGGGAAATAAATAAGAAGTGTTGAATATTGATTTTTTTCTGCCAGAAAGTTTTACTTGAAATAAAGAGTTAGGAGTTAATAAAAGATTTTTTTACATATCCAATAATAAACAAACTATCAAAACCTGTCTCTCACACACACATGTGTTTGCTTAATTTCTTTTGAACAAATTCAATAGTCACATTATTACATACTATTTGCATTCCTTTGCCACAGAATTTTTAACCTCAAATACTTGAATAACAGGGAGTACATCTTGAATCTATCCATGAAGTTAAAAGGAGTAATACATAAGATATAGTTTTTAATGTATGTATGTATTTATCCCCAAAGGTCTTAATCATTACTCATAGAACTGTAGATTAACATAAAACATGTAAATATAGTCCTTTGTCTTAAAGCAGAAATAACTGAATCAAATGCACCTTAATTTACCAAGTTAAAAACTTTTGGTTTATATTATACAATTTTGATATTGTTAAACCTAATTATAAGACCAGACTTGATATTGTTAAACCTAATTGTAAAAGAAAAAGTCAAATACATACATTAGAAGTATTAATTATGTTTATATTTTGTAGAAATATGATTATTTTCTTCTGTATTGTCTCATATCTTTAGACAAATTAAATCTTATAATTTCGATTCATTCCTTATTTTCTAACACAAAATCACCTATGTACAACTAAATAAGGATTTTCAATATAGGAATATACATGATATGACATGCATACAGTAAGAATAAGTTATTTTAACATTGCATAACTTAGTAATACATTTCAGTATTGTTTCATTTGAAGGGAAGTGAAATGATAGCTTGTCTTTTCATTTTGAAAAGTTAACATGGTAAATAGTATATCATATGGACTACAAAAGAAAGCTCACAAATTTTCACAACATTGGAATTATCTATCATGTTTATTAATGATTAGGAATAAATTCATGAATTCCTTACAAATATTAACTTTGAATAATGACAGGAAACGATTATGTACTGACAAAAACAATAAGAGACGAGCTCCTTGGAAGAAGAGAAAATGCACCAACAGATTCTCTTTTCCTCTCAATTCATGCGCATTGCATATCCTTTGTTAGAAATACAAGTTTGTGAGGAAAATTTCACCATGATTAGATATAAAAGAAAACCATTCACGAGCCTTCATCTAACTGCTTAAACTTTTGATACAGTTGATTGTTTTATATGATATCTAAACTTATACGACTAAGTGGTCTAGAGTTCGATTCTTGTCGCCTCCATTTTTCTTACAAAATTGAATTTTAGTACATGCATGAGCTGGTGACAAAGATTTCACCATAACCTGTACATTATTCACAGTTCAAGAATCTTTCATTGGGGATGTTAGAAAATATAAGCCGATGAGAAGATTTAACCATGCTAATTGGCGTCAAATAAAGAATATTATTGCAACAAACTTGTCTTGTGTTTAAATTTTACATGTCTTACACTAAACTTTCTCCTCAAGGTTTCAATAATCATTAATCTAATCTTGACAAATTAATAGCAAAATACGATGATTCATATTCATTTACATCTATTGTTCCTTGAAATGTCTGGCAGTAGAGGAGCATGGATGCAAGCTAGTTCCCTAGATTTGAATGAGCTTAGTCCACAAGAAATCCTATCATCTCAGCATATTGGGAAGCTTTCCGAGGTTGTGACCTAATCCTCACAATTGCTTTATACTAATAGCTATCATACTCACTTTGTTACAAAAATGCATACCTTCCACAATGATAGAAACCATATGCATATAAATCCTCTCCTGAGTTGTATGAAAATGATTGGTTTGTGCAGGGAAGCAACTACATACAATCAAGAAGCTTGAAGAATCAAAATTTAGATTGTCAAAATCCAAGCTTGGAGTTCACATTAGGGAGATCAAATTGGCACACCAATGAACATGCCTAATTTTAGTTGATATATATATATATATATATATATAAATAGGTATTGCTTTTGTCAAGACAAAGATGTCACTTTCCAAAAATCTAAAGCAACTCTGTATATTCTTTTTGAGCCAAAAAGCTTATAATTAGGTGGTGTTAGTCATTACATAAATGTTAGTTAAAAGTTAAAGTTGAAGAAAAGAAGGAATCAAATGTATTATAAGGCTTTTGTTGATCCCTTTTCTTTCTTTCTTTTTTTCTCTCCTTTTCCCTAGGTTCCTACAGATTTTGTCCATATATAACTTTTGTTGTTGCTCATCTTGATCCTTAAGTGATTAGTGTGTGAAAGCTTGATAACTGTTATTTATTTATCATTAGTACGTACTTTGTTCCTTGATTTTACCCTTGACTAATTGTGCACAAGGGATTATCAAAAGCTATTAAAAGCAGTGATGGGTGTGAAAGAATGGGAGAATATATTATTGAGCTTTCTTTCATAAGTAAAACCACACCTTTTGAAAAATCATTCATGCAAAAAGCTATTTTTGTTTAAAAATTCTAGATACATGCATTTGGTTGTAATATATCCACGTTGCTTGACACTGTGATTAGCATGTTGATGTTGTCATTGTGGCTTGCATTATGCCCCACTAATGGAAACCTTTTAATTGATATGATGCCTAATCCACTGGCTTGATCCTGGATAGAAAAATCAGTTGTAACAGCTGTAACCTTAAGTGAAGCATATTCAAATGCCTCAAGCTATGAAGTACCGACACTTCAAAAATCCTGACGTGTCTGACACTTTCCGACACTCTCGGACACTCCGACACTCCCCGACACTCCAATACGCCTTATAGAAATTCAAAAAAAGGTTCAAAGGTTGCGTTGCGTTGAGTTTTTAGTTCCAACTATTAGATTCGTTTGATTACGATTATCATTTTATTGAGTTTAATATAGATATTTGGGAAAATTTATGAATATTATAAGTTTATATTCATTTTTTTGTTAAATTATTGATTATTAAATAAAATATACATTACATAAATTAAAAATATTATTTAATATCAAAACGTGTTCTAACGTGTCGAAATCTAACATTTTTTAGAATTAACGTGTCGGAGTGTCATGTCGTATCGTGTCACGTGTCCTGTGTCGGTATCGGTGCTACATAGGCCTCAGGGAACCATATATATTAGAAAACATTTAGGTTGTTAGGGGACTTCTAATTATTACATCTTTGTATTTTGTTATATGAATTGGAAATTGCATACCTCTTTATTATAGTGTTTTTTTTTTTTAGGTATGAAATTGAAAATGAGCATAGGCCAACTTTGGTTTAGGTACTGAGAATAACAAAAGAGAAGGCTATATCAATGAAAAACAATAGTTGCGGATAATGGGTTCATATTATTTTGGTATGATGATGTGAACACACTTGGAGATACGAAAGAGACTGATGACTTGACTATTGCCATAAATCTATAATATATAACTTATCTACCACTGTGGGGCAAAATGAATCATTGCTGATCACATATCAGGAGACATTTCAGTAGTTTGATTGGTCCATATGATAATTAAATGCTGTTTGCAATTGTTTCACCTGTATTTTATTTGATCATGGTCATTGTTTCCATATATTCTCCATTATTTTACAGCAATTAGTTTGTTGGAATATTAGGGTTACTGTACCTAAAGCATCGGTCCCAGCGGTTGAACCGGGAATCGGACCATTAACCGGTCTGTTTCGATCAATGAATTTGCCATGCATACGTCCTAGTCAAAAATTGGTGAATCGGTCAACAACCAGTACAAATCCAATATCAATTTTCGAGTTGAACCGGTTCTTGAAAATTGTGACAAAATAAGGGAAGGGAAGTAAAATATTAACCACTAAACCACGTAACTTTTGTTGTCATATTACTTTTAATTATATATTTATAGGATGGGTTTTATAAGAGTTATGTTATAGGAAAAATGATTGTGTAATGTTATAGAAATTCGTTTTGCGTGTCGGTAGTTTTTTTTTTTTTTCTTTAAAACATGTGAGTCCCACAAAATATTGTGTGTGTAGGAAAGTTTGTGTGATCATGTTAAATAATAGAATACAAACCCTTATAGGATATATGAAAATCATGTTACAAATATTCATTAGGTTATGCAATAGATACAAAAACCCAAGTGGGATCCATATATTGAATTAAAAAAAAAAAAGAGCAAACACACATTTTGATGTTTTAGCAGGACAAAAAATTTCTTCCTACTGTATGACGCTTATATAACACTATATTTATTATATATATTTACACAAATTCAATTCAACGAATTCAACCAACAACTTATTGATTTGATATTCAAACTGAGTTGATGACTGATACAGATTTAATAACACTGATTTGAAAGATTCAATGAAGAAATTTTCTTTTCTTAAACTTTTTTTTAATAAAAAATTTAGATAAAGTTAAACACAGGTAACCTATTAGGCCAAGACAATCAATCTTTTTGAAAATATCTAAGAGGGATTATAGTTCTTTTCTTAACTTTTTGTAAGCATATCATTACTTTTTCCTTTTTTGAGATACAAACTAATTATTCTTATGGTTTGCCATTTGTCCTACAATAATAATTCTAATAATTTTTAATTAGAGTCCACAAAAAAAAAAGTATTAATCAGATAAATATCACGTGTTTCTTTAGTTCAGGGCTATTTCTCTATTACGTTTCATGGGCCTTGAGCAATAAATGGACGTACGTGTACGTATTGACATTGGACACAAACAAAAGCCTTAACAAACAATTACAAGTTATCAAATAATACCGAAGTTCATCACCTCTACCGAATATTTTTTTTTTCTGAATAATATAAATGGGTCCATCTTAAAGTGTGTTTATAAGGGAGACGTGCAATCAGAGGATACAGACCAATAAAAGAAGTGGGCTTGACAGTGAGATCATAAATAGTGCGCCAACTTGAGTGAAGGTTCAGTGCATTTATGTCAATGCCATTGTACATCTTCAAGGACGCATATATGGGACCCCAATCCTCAAGATTTTTTAATTAGACAAATAAATAAATGTTATCATTAATATAAAGAATTATTTTAATTCAAAAATTTAATAATTTAGGTAAAAATTACATTAGTAATTTTATATTATATTTCTCTAACTTATCTCCTAGCACAAGAGCCTATTATCATTTGGTCATATTAATTTTTAATACACTATCTCGTGCAAGAATATTTGAGCTTGCAGCGTGGATAATATACTCACTCATTATTTTATTTACCTTGTGTTTTTAACTCATTTTTTAATTTTATTAAAGAATGAGGAGGGTAAAGTTTGATAAGTTAACCAATCCAATCCAATAACAGGTGAAGATCGTATTAATAATTCTATATTATATTTTTTCTAATAATAAAAAATTCAAATATGAGAGAGTTTCATGTTGGTTGAGAATAAAATAAGTGAGTAACAAAAACATGTCAGCTTGATATCTTAAGATTTTTGACTCAATTAAATTTTCAATAGTTATAGGCTAAAAAAGAAAAAAAAATTAAAACTTAAAATGAAAATCGAAGACATATTGGAAATTACATTTATACGAAGTATTCAGCTTATTCTAAAAATTATCTTAACAAAAACAATTAAGATTTCGGCGAGCAAAATATGTGGCAATCCTGGACTCTTTCTTTTCATATAAAGCTAATACATTCTCACCCTATTTAAACTTATGAGAGACCACATAAGTTTAAAATAACTTGAAGTAAATATTGACTTACGTCTTTTAAAAACAACTTAATCTCAATCCAAACTACATTTCAATACAAATTATTGATTTTCCTTGAGACTTGCCTACCTTCTTTTGTAGCACTATATCATAATTCTTGGCCCCATCAAATAAAAATTCTGGCTCTGCCCTTCGAACCAATGTCTCACATAACTCATCTCCCGTAATTCCTCAGCTACAAATTCACCAAATATATATATATATATATATATATATATATATATGAGGCAGGATCCTTTGACACCGGTGTCAAAGGAAAAGTTTGACACCTCATCCGAGAGCCGTTAGATTAAAAAAAATCAATGGTGTCACATGCTTACAAATCAGAATCGTTGATTTTGATGCTTTTACACACTCATGTATGATTATGATTCCTACCTACGTCCAGCAACTTGAAAAATAATAACCATATATATAGATATAAGTTATACTCTCAATTTTAATCGTTGATCTTATTTATATCCAACGATTTTAATTTATTAGCATTTGAGCAATTAGATGCAAACAAATCAATAACAATGATTAGGTGTAAGAATAAACTGCCCAATATATAAAAACATTGACAACATATTTTGAATTTATTAAGATATACCTATACACACATATGAGAGCCAAAACATAGAAAGTAGAAAGAGAAAGAAATTGCCAATGTTTGATTGTTGAAACAAGAAAATATATTTATGCATATTTAATACACAATAATCCTTCGTTTCAGTATTACACCAACAAATACACAAGTCCCTGACTGAAACTGGAGTGTATGTCTATGTCCATAATGCTTACAGAAGTTTGTAACTGCTCATTAACTCAACATCACAGGGTGATTTTATCCCACATAAAACATAATTGAAAAATATTGACTACTGATTGGGACCCAAAAGTGAGAGAAGAAAAGCCCTGTAGTGGCTGGATGTTTCCGAGTGAACTGCATCATTCAGTGTCTTCCTATATTTCTTTAAATATTCAGCTTTGATATACTGCATATCAATCTCGGTTCTTGTCACAATGACCCTTATGAGTGCGGTATCATCAGTCCCCAAACCTTTCATCGCCTTATGCAACACCTGCATGCATTGTGGCAAATGTATGAACATACAACCCTGTCTTGGTGGTAAGACATTTTAAAAGGTTCCCTCAAAAGAAAGTGCAGATAGTATTCATAAAAGTTAAGACGTTTAGTTTAATTCATAACATTGTCATTTCATATACTCTCACTTTTTCCCACTACTAATCCACTACCTCTCTAATCACCGTTGCATCATTATTTTCTCTCTGAAAAGTTTCTGAAGAGAAAAAAAAAAAAAACAACCTTAATATTATTATTATATACTCCCTGGAGTATATAGTTATAGTGGATGGTAGTAGATAATAGTGGAAAAAAGTGGTAGTATAAATATCCTACCTTTGAGAGGATACTCTAGTTACTTTGATTACACACGTGAAATTTATAAATAAGAAGAAAAAAGAAACGAAAATTTGTTGATGTATGTTTATATTACTCTGGCTAAATGTACGTGAAAGCTTATCAGAGAAGTCTAATATAAAACCATTAATGTATACACCATTTACCAACTTAAGTTGGTGGGTTGAATTGATTGCATTACAAAGCTAGAGATACATATTGTATGATTATCATGTTTCTTACATTTTCGACCATATAATTCATTTGTTTCCAAAAGTTTGTCCTAATGTCACTTTACAATTCTACATCATGTTGGGGCACACACTTATCACATGCAATAAAGGAAAGGAAAAATTAGACATAATTCCAACGGAAATCTTTTTAATTGAAGTAAGACAAAAAGGCTCAAATTGGTTTCAAGATCTTTCATAATTGTTCCCTGCCTTGTAAACAAACACAAACACAAAAAATTTGATTCTTTAACAGTAAGTCTAATATTAGTGTCTACTACATGTGGCGCCAGTTATTTCATGACTCTTCCTTTTCATTTTTGTGCTTACAAGAGTTGTCATTGAACACAAACATTGTCGCCACAGCATTACAAGAGGCAATTACCTAAAGTTGAAGTGTAACAGAATATACCTTTGCAAAATACTTTCCTGGATTAACAGCACATTGGATTATTGTCAAAAGTGCATGAGCAAAATTCCCCGATGCTTCATTCTTTACTGCCTGAATACATTCAGCTTGAATAAGCACCAGAAAAATACCTCAAGAAAGATTAAATTTGAAGTTATAAATTAAAAGTGATCAAGATACCTTCTTCAGTGAGTGACCATACATGTCATGGTAGTAAGAACTGATGGCAGCCAAATGTGCTGCACTCCGTTCACTGAATATGTGGACAAAAGTCTTCTCATCAGTTCCCAGTTTCTTCTCGCCAGCTTTGTAGAGAACCTTCGCATCCTTCTCAGCAATTTCTCTATTAACCTCAGGGCCTTCATGACGAGGCATGCTTATGTAAGCAAGCAAGATCTGAAGCAAGTTTTTTAGATGAAGGTATGAGTAACAGCAGCTCCATTTGTTTTAATAACTTGGAAGGAACTTATAGATGTGAATCATATGAGACAAACGTTTTGCATCCTATGAGAAACAATTACAAACCATGGAACAATGTTCCCTCAAGGGGCATGCACAATGACACAGACTTGCACATTGAAATAAACTGATGAACCAGACAATTAGTCCATATCCCAACCCATAGTTTACTTGTCACAGAAATTTTGCAAAACCCAATGGCAGTCAATCTTTTTTATGGACCCAAAGATAATTTTCCAGCCTTTATGGATATAGTCTTGAACAAAGGAAGTAGTGAGCCTTTCCTTAAAAAGTCATCCAGCTAAAAATTGGTGAGCAAGAGATAAGAGCCACAAAGATTTGTATATTTACAAGAGATATGAAAAGCTTTAGATGAATACCTCCTACTGCGCATAATAGAACTATCTAGTAAGAAGAACACCTAAGAACTATCCAAGAAAATAAGAATGACGTACATTGATAGCAATCATTAAACTCATCATGGACATCGACATGGAAATGGAAGATCTTGTCCTATACTAACTGTCTGTGACTTTTGCAGATAGACCACCGTATACAATTACAGAAATATGTGATCCCAAAGTGAATATTAAACTTTAACATCTTGAATATAGAGAGAAATAAACACTCAAAAGTTCTTATCTAATGCCATGCACTACAATTAGCAGAAGTGATAGGTGAGGAATTATCAATTCTTTAACTAACACAGAACCCTTATCTGGAGTGTCTTTTCTAAAAGCCACACACAAGGACAAAGAGAAACTACACCTTTTATGATCCCCATAGTGTTTCTTTCAATATCATGCTAGACAAAGACAAACAGCACTTAGAATGTTAGCCAAAGATCCCTTAATATGACTAATTCACAATAGCTCAGGTTTCTTTAATAAAAGTTACACATAGAAACCTCACCTTTTTATGATCCCCAGAGGTGTTTGCTTCAATATCATGCTCAAGATAAACACCAAAATTAGAATGGTAGATCTGTTTTAAATATTGTAGCTGGGACGGAGTGTGTGAACAGATTACTTCAGTAGCACCTTCAAGGTTTCTGTTCACAGTTAGACACAGCCTAATGATTGTTGCATCACGTCCTGCAGGGTCATGCATCCAAAGCAGAACTGCAGTCTGATCAATAGAAAAATATAAGACAAACAAAGAAATGTTAGGAAACATTATCACTATTCTAAATTTTAAGAAACATCATTTTATTAATCTATACAGTAATGTGTCAATATATCACTGGATATATACTCCACAACCTACAATGGAGTTCATAATTTATATTAGTAATTTAGTACCTCTAACTTTCCACTAAGCTCAGAAGCTAAGCGTTTGGATAGTTCCTCAGAATATATTATTCTGTATTCCTGTTGGATGTAAGCACGCTGCGTAGCATCTCGGTGAGCAAGAATATTGATAACAGTACTAGTATCACAACCAAATCCTGTGAAAGCACATAATTAGAAAGAAATAGAAGGTTTCAAGGATGAACATGGCACAAATTAAGATAGTAACAACATCAACATCAATATCAACAACACCTTTATCCCAAACTAGTTGGGATCTGTACAAATTAAGGTAGCAAGTATAGAGAAATATATATCCATAGACTCTACATGAGCATTCTCTATGGAAGAAGAATCAGTCAGACAATTTCCTAGGTAGCAACCACAGATCACAATACATTTTTATTTTATTTTTTCTAAAATAAAATTAGATGAAAAATACCATAAAAAAATAGAAAGCTACGTAAATATCTAGTATCAGTCAACATTAAATACATAACAAGTTAACAACATAGGTGATTATAGATTGTCTCATGACTAATATTCAAAGACCTTTTGAGTCCAAAGCAAGTGAGGGTTTCATGGGAGTGGTTTTATACTACTAGCACTGGCAGTCAGTCCATAAAATGATTTTGTTTTACATAATACAAAAAGTATGATTCTTTTTAACAAAATGAAAATCCACAAAATATGGGTTCAATCAAATATGGGTAATTTGATTTCCTTTTGGTGAAATTCTCAATCAGAATAAAACACATGCTGACATGCCCTTAAACATTCATGTCCAACATCTTCCTTAAACAGTAGTTTGAAGTAAATTACAACCAATCCAACGTTCCTAAGACAAGATCACCATCATGCTACATTATCATACCAACAATTATATATATATATATATATATATATATATATATATATATATATATATATATAGAGAGAGAGAGAGAGAGAGAGAGAGAGAGGGAGGGTACCCTTGAAAGCACGGTAAAGATGCATGGCATCCTCTCTTGGGGAAGGAGGAACTGGAGGTACAGTGAGGGTAGTCATCTTGCTCTATGAAAACAGAGGAAACAGAGAAGAAGAAGAAGAGAAATGAAAAAGCAAAGAAGTTACTTGTGTCTTGTGAGAGTGAGTCATGGGGAGAAGACCAAAATTTGAAAGAAAAAATCTACAGTTGGAGAATTAAATGGCACTGTTGTTGTTGTAGGACCACAAGAAAACATTACTTTCATTTAATCCATTCACCAACTCCAGCTAATCTTACATGTATCCCAAAAGAAGAGTCGACAAAGAAAGAAAGAAAGAAACACAAGTTTTTCCATCTTTTTTTAACTTTTATCTTACATTAATCTCCATAATCACTTTATCACATATGTCTTTTTAATTTGCAAAATGATATATTTTTTATTATATATGTCTTGTGATTTTTTATTTTTTACAAACTACAGAAATATATCTGATAAAAAAAATCACATTAGCATAAATAATTCTGAAACAAATTGCAGATCATTGATGAACTTTTTTTAAAGTAGTGAAAACTGTATATTCTATATTATGCACGTGAATTAATTGATTCATAAATATTCCAACACTGAATTCGAGTTTAAAATATATAGTTATATGAAAAATTTGATAAAAAAAACTTTATTATTTTAACCGAATTAATCGAATAATAAATAAATTGCCCAAGAAATATAAAAAGAATATTAAATCGCATTTGAGTAATTATTTCCTGTTGTGTTGTCATACCTTTGAAAAATCATAATCTGGTTAAATTAGTCTTTTATCTCCACCTCCTTATATTATTAGGAATTTTTAATTAAATTCTTAAAACCTGTTTGGGATCTCTCTTTTTTAAGTTAAAGCTAAAAAAATGAACTTTAAAAATAAAGCTACAAGCTATTTGATTATTATATAAAAAAATTAGTTTAAAAATTACTTAAATTAAAGATGTTCATTTCTAAAAAACTCACATTTCACGAAAAAAAAAAATTGATACAATTTAATTTAATAAAAAGTTAAAAGTTATTTGGTGATTACATAAATTTTTTAGTTTAAAAGCTCAAACCACATTTCAAGAAAAGCTAATAAGAGCTTAAAATAAGTTCCTGCTAGGAGATTTTAACTTTTGGCTTTTTTTATTCATTGTAAAAAAATTCTTTTAATTACAAGAGCTTTTGTAAAAACTTATTTGGTCTAACTTCTATTTATAAAGAAAAGAGAAGATAAAAAAAATCCCAAACAAGCTCTTAAGAATAAAATACGATTAAAAAAATGTTAATTCCAATATTAAATTATGAATTTTTAAAAGGTAAGAACTTAAATATTTAGATGTCTTTATTTAATTCTAATGATTTATAAGGCATTCTCAATGAGTGAATGACAACATAAAAAGGAGAGGGCAAGAGAAAATATTTCAGCACAATGATCATTTTGCTATTTTTTTGGTAAAATATATTATAATATCACAGTTCAAAAATTAGTTATCAAATTTCAAAAGATAGTTCAGTTGCCAACTGAATATCCAAGAGTTTGCTTTGGTCAGAATTCAAACCTTGGCTAATACAAATTCTTGGAATTCTTTAGGAGTTAGAGGAAAATTGCCTCTCCTCAAAGGGAGATTAGTCTCACCCTTTGTTCTAATAAGCAATTAACCTTAGGGGCCATACTCCGATAACAAGATAGTTGAATAAGATTGAGTGATGACCATATTATTATGAACTTAGCTAGACGCATTCGGCTGGGGGGACAACGATACTAGTACAACAGAAACTAGTCAAACTGAGTCAAGTTCCCTAATTTTGCTAGCTAACCCTAACCCAAAAGTGCTTATAGGATGTTGTTACGTAGCACAATTGTGTGTGCCCGTTCCACCTAACTTCTACCATCATCTCCTATATAAACCCCCTCCCCAAATTCCACATGTGTACCTTTACCTTCATCGTATAATTTTATTGCAATCTTAGTAATTGTTTTTCCTACACATCTCAAAAATGAGTTTCAATCGTGAATACTTAACGGTGCTTGTGTTGTATGAGCCAATTAATGTGGCCTTTATAAGGCCTTGGGCACTCCCACCCTTTGAGCTAGCTTTTGGGGTGATGTATCCCAAGGTTCTTTTTTTTTTTTTTGTAATAATCCCAAGGTTCTTTACATGTACCTGATGCTCACCGGAAAGTATACCAATCGCACAAGTAACACAGAGATAAGAAAAGTATCGTCTCCACAAGGATTGGGATCGAATATCAAATAATTGTCCTTTTAAGATGGGAGGAATTCAAATAGGTGTGTGAAAATTGTTGTTGATTTGAAAACTAAAAGTAAGAACGTATTTTTGGAATTTTTGTATTGAATAATAAAAATAAAAATAAAAATAAGAATTGATTTGTAAAATTATGAGAAGAAATTGTAGCTAGAATGCACTCACCAAATGATTCCGGCTTCTTACTCTGGATTGATTTACAATATCCATTTATATAATTACTCAGATAAATTATCATTTAGAATTAATTAGTTAAATTTCAATCCCTTGGCAATTTAACCCTTTAACCTCAATTGGAATCTTAATCTCTTAGTAACCCCTCATGAAAATTAAACAATGAATACGATAATTAAAGCATCTGCAATTAAATATACAACTATTCCTAGCATGCATAATAATTGTTATCTTACCCCCTTTCAAGATCAAAACCTTAATATTTCTATCTAGGGTTTTAACCCTTAAACTATCATCAACTATTAGATTGATCAAGTCTAACAAAGAAAATAGAAATTTCGCACAAGGTAAAGATAAAGAAATTTATATAAACGGGTAGAAATAAACCAATCCGTCGTAAAAAGGGTTCACATAAGGTTTGTGACCCTAACTACAATAAAGAAAACTTAGCCAACCATTATCATGGCTGATAAATTCAATATTCAATGTTACTTGAGAATGTAGATGGAAGAATAAAGGAGATCAATAATTTCTCTCCGGAGCTCTCCTTCTGAAGCACGACGGTCTCCTTAGGTCCAGAATACCTAATTCTGTGCTGAGCATCCTTTTTATGGTCCCCCTTTTCATCTTCCGAAACTGCCCTTTTAAGAACACGGTGCTGTGATTTCGCAATCTGGCGCTCTTAGCGTGAGTTTCACGCTATGAGCGTGGATGTCTCTGGATGTTCACGCTACTAGCGCGGATCTCACGCTATGAGCGTGGATGGAAATAATGACTGGCGCTACTTGCGTGAGTTTCACGCTATGAGCGTGGATGTCTCTGGATTCTCACGCTACTAGCGTGAGTTTCACGCTATTAGCGTGGGACTCTGGCCTGAACTTTCAAAAGTACCTCTTTTTGTCCTGTTTCCTACAAAATTATAAGGAAATCAGTTGCACAATCTTTGATTGAGATTTATCAAATTAATAGTAATTCTAGCCCTTTTTCTCCAAGATTAATCAAGATTTCTTTCTCATTTTGACTAAAAATCATGTATATGCTAGAGGCATATCAGTACCATAATGATAGAAAATAGTATGGTCACAAAGGTCTCATTTTCGAAAGTAAATCAGGAATGATGTATATTAGTCCTTGTTATAGCTATAATGATCTAAGAAAAACAATCTATAAGAAATTAGGGCTACTGGACAACTAAATTATTTCTCGCATGATAGCTCGACCTGACACTTGTGATGGGAAATGACTTGGTGTGGAAGTTGCTAACAATGATAATATGACATGCGTGGAAGATGCATTTCTTAGTCGGTCACAAAGAAGATTCATTGAATAGTATGTGAAAGTGAACTCTAGTGAACACTTTTTCCGTGAGCTTTCATTGCCTTCAATTTAGGCAATAGATATAAATAGAGAGACTTATTTTATTTTATTTTTGTGAGAATAAAGAGTCTTATTTTGATAACCAAGAATGGGACTAATACTATGAGGCATTCGGGCCCAACAATGGGACTATACATGCTGAGTCACACAACAAGACTCCATATCGTGCCATGTGGGAATTCTCTTTCATTCCAAGGAATAACTTGTATCCATGCGGGCTCAATAACGGGGACATTGACCATGTTGCCACCCCTTTAATAAAAAATTACCGGATTGCCATGTCAGGAAAAAAAATTGCCAAAATGCCACGTCACAATCTCGCTGGTCTGACAAGCGGGAATGGTCTGGACAAGTGTCAGCGTCTGAATGTTCAACCATTCTCGCTGGACTGCCCAGATAGAATGACAGAATGCTGACACATGGCAAAAGTACTGACATCCAGAGAATGCTTGTATTTTTGCCTCGTGTCAGCATTCTGTCATTCTAACTGGACAGCCCAGCGAGAATGGTTGACCATTCAGACACTGACACGTGTCCAGACCATTCCCGCTTGTCAGACCAGCGAGATTGTGACGTGCATTTTGGCAAAAAAATTTCCTGGCGTGACAATCCGGTAATTTTTTGCCTAAAAGGTGATAATATGGTCAAAGTCCCTTAATAACGAGACTTTGTCATGGCATATTGACAAATTATTTGTTGTGAAACGCTATGTAGCACCAATACTGACACGGGACACGAGATACGATACGACACGACACTCCGACACGATAATTTTAAAAAATATTAGATTTCGACACGTTAGGACACGTTTTGATATTAAATATTATTTTTAATTTATGTAATGTATATTATATTTAATACTCAATAATTTAACAAAAAAATGAAGTTAAACTTATAATACACATCAATTTTGTAAAGAAATATAAGATATCCCAAATATTTATATTAAACTCAATAAAATGGTATTCGTAATCCAACGAATCTAATAGTTGGAACTAAAAACGCAACGCAACCTTTAAACCCTTTTTGAGTCTCTACAACGTGTGTTGGAGTGTCGGGGAGTGTCAGAGTGTCAGAGAGTGTCGGACACGACACGTCAGAATTTTTGAAGTGTCAGTGCTTCATAGGTGAAACGTGACATTTCGATATATATTTTGGGAAATCATTATCTCATTTTATATGAGATAACTCTCTCATGTTATCTCACATCAAAAATTGTGCCATCATTTTTATTTTTTAATAAATGGTGGGACCCACCACATCATGTGTCTATAGTAGGAGATAACTATCTCCTACAACATGAGAAAATAGAATC